CGGCTAAACGATTAAGAATACAGCTTTTGTGGACAATTGAAAGAATCTTAACCCGAAATTAAAATTGTCATCAAATAATTTACATGTTGTCAGTTGACATATATTTTTGTATATCTGTATATGGAAAACATCAAGGTTGACGTATATTTTTGTATAAGCTGTAGATAGAAATCTTGTTGTAATCTTTTAAGCACTATAAAGATAGACTTTGTTTTAACATCACAATGAAATGCATTTAATTTCATATAATATTTTTTTGGATCAATTATAGTTGTTTTGTGTTTTAAATAATTGTTAATGTCTGGCTGGCATAATTATTTAAAATAGTACAATTATCATGTACAGTTAGTTCAATCTGTCTGTTCATGGTTGTTAGAAGCAGGACAAAATTACCCTACATATGATGTGTAGAAATGTAACAAGATAAAATATATTTCAGCTTGATAATTGTGGACCCATAATTAATTGAAACCAAGGCAAGAGCCAGATTGATTTGAGTGAAAAAGCCTTGGTCTGGTGTTTGGTTGTCAGATGGCCGAGTATGCCAATCAGTGAAGCAACGCCACTGTCTGAAATAAAAAAATTAGCTGGATTCACTTACTATATTCACTATCAGGGACGTCACTACCGGGTTTTGTGTGGGGGGGGGGGTGTAACCCCCCCCCCAATAATTGAAACATTGATCAAAGTTGGTCAAAATGGAACTGGTATTTGCTCAAAGTTTGTCGAAATGGAACTGATATTTGCTTAAAATTTAAGGTCAAAGTTGGTAAATTGTGGTTAAATATTGGCAAGCCTTGCTTATTTTGGTCGAAAAATTTATAAATATGCTTATATTAGTCTGGAAAATTTTTTTACCCCCCTGTCGACAACATTTCCGGGTTTACGACTTGGTCAAAATTTTATTAAATATTGATCAAAACGTGACGACACCCCCCCCCCCCAATGTTGATGGCTTAGCGACGCCCCTGCTTACTATACTATGTCTTGTTTCATGTGTGCACTAGTGTCCAGTACCTGCATGGTGTGAATTGCATTGTACAATCCAGCAGTTAAACAATAACATGGTAGATGATTATAATAATAAATTTTTAAATTTTTTTTTAATCCAGATGAAGATGTTGAATTGTCAGGTTTTCTATGCAAGAAACTAGGTGCTATTTTGCATGTCTGAGATGGAGACTAAGTTGCTGCATCCTAGAAAGTGTGAACAGCATGGTTTACATTGTACAATTAGCAGCTTCAAGGCTACAACACATGGACAAGCAACCATTGTCAATGACAACATTGATCAAGCATGTCATAACCTGCCAGATAAAATAGTGACATAATAGACCTTTCCCCTCTTAAGTGAAATTTTGATCTAGACAAGTCTGGACAAAAAGTTAATCACAGCTTGAAAGAGCATCACAAAATTAGTAATATTCCGAAGTTTCGTTGCGAAATGTTGTAAAATGCAGATAATATAGCCTTGCGAAGTTTGCCGTTTTTCAGTCATTTGGTATTACAAACGGGAAATTGATAATCAGTTTGATCATCTGATTATCAATTTCCCGTTTGTAATACCAAATGACTGAAAAACGGCAAACTTCGCAAGGCTATATTATCTGCATTTTACAACATTTCGCAACAAAACTTCGGAATATTACTAATTTTGTGATGCTCTTTCAAGCTGTGATGAAATTTTTGTCCAGGCTAGTCTAGATCAAAATTTCACTTAAAAGGGGAAAGGTCTATTGAACATGGCCAGCATTTTGTTCTGCTAACACCTTCTTTACAATATAACATGTTTTTAATGGATGAAAATGGGATAAAAAATAAAAGTAGTGTAAACTGTTGTCTATGCTCACAATTTCCCTGTGACTTTTTTTTAAATCACATCGCCTTTTATCAGAAATTGCATTGCAAGTTGCAGATTTACTAGAGAGGGGTGCACCCTGCAAGCCCTGATGGGAGAGGGTGAAGGGGGTGCTTTTTTCATGATAAAGCAAAAAATAATAGAGACAAAATGAGATACAGTAATTTGAGCAATAACATGATGATAAGCAAACTGTGAACAACAATTCAAATTCAAATGTAGTATGTTGATGGGCGAGTGGCACACATGACCGACACAACTCTGCACCAGAGCTTCAGTGGCGCCGCCAGCTTGATAATTGGGGGGGGGGGCGAATATTCATATCTTCGTGTTCTGAATTATTAACTTCTTTTGAAATTGATTGTTTTTATGCTCTGTGAACACAAATATATGAATATTCGCCTCCCCCCCCAATTATCGAGCTGGCGGCACCACTCTGCGCAGAGCTTGCAGAGCAGCCCCCTACCAGATCATGCTGGATCGATCCCTGTATTATTTTATTTGCACATGGAGGTGTATCTCTTTTGGTGGCGTAAAGGCATGTTTCTTGACACAAGTGACAATCCAAATTTTTAGATGGCTGTTTAAAATTTTAGTCAGCTGGATGGCAGGCTGGTTAATACCATGCAGTAATGCAGTAGAATAATCTTGAGCATAACATCTAACATAATACAGCAACAATATAAATTGTATAACTTTGCTTGATTTATAGTTACTGAATATAGACATAAACACTTCTTACATTTGGTCAACTTGCACAATAGTTGCTTGAAATTTGTGTTACAAGCACAGGTCAGCACTAAAAAGTTTACTAAGCGTTTACATAGTTGTTTACATGTTGTACATGTACTCAACAAATCCCCGAGATATTTCTCGCTATAGTAACATACAGCGTAAACATACAGCGTAAAAACACATGGGATTGTAAATTTGAAGTTTGTTCTTTGCTGAAATATCTCAAAATTTGTGTTGACAAACCAGTTTCAATGTCATGCACGTCCACTATACGTGTAACAGTAATCGACAATTCCAAGAGGCAAGAGCATCCATTATCCAGTTGAAATTTTGACATTTACCACTCCATCTGCATTCTAGAGTATTCCATTTCCCAAAAGTATTAATATTTGATGTTTATGCATGTAGGATACAGACCAAATATAAATTGAACGGTTGCAAAAATTCTTATAAATTCCATTCACATTTCATACTTCGTCTTTCGATACGATTTACATAGTTTCGGCGTGGTTTGACCATCTGTATTTCGTTAAATTCCGGGCCATCCGTTGTAAGTGCAAAATAATCAATGTTTCATTCATATTTGTTTCAATTTGCAACATAAAAATGATATTCTCGATCGACATTTTTTCGAAATGTGTCTGAATATAAAAAGATCGTATCCTATGGCAGTAGGGGTAACACAGCTTTTGACATTTTGTAGTAGTTTTGATATGAACAATTAATCCCATGGGGGTGGGGGTAACATAGCCGGTCCACAAGGGTTACATAGCTGGTCCAAAGTCTTCGGGTTTTGGCAGGCATCGCCACAATCTCGTTCCCAGAGTATGCCTGTTCGCGGGTTAGGTAGTGGCATGACACTACCTAACCCGCGAACAGGCATACTCTGGGAACGAGATTGGCATCGCCACTATTAATTTTTTTGCCTGCAAGAAATTTTGCCCGATAATCGAAAGGCGATGCCTGTGGAGGAGGCTAACCGCGCCGCCGAATTGCGCCCCTTTGGCTAAAATTAATATTTAACATATAAAGCGTGTCTTTAGTTTAATGCTATCCCGTTTCCTGTAAGATGCATGCATTTTACAGTCTATTAATTCAAAAAACTTGCGCGTTGGAACAATATTCTATAGACGCTAATCAAATGTCTAATTGAAATAAATAAATCTGGTATTTCCAAGCACCCATGTATTTTTCTGTTTATTATATAAAGGACAGTTTTTGAAAAGCGATAATTTTTACAGAAAAGCGAAAATTGAAAAGCGATAATTTTCACATGTGAGATTATCATAAATAATCTCACATTTGAGATTATCCGCTATAACTTTAATCAGTGCTCGAAATCTCTATAAAGCACTATACTTTATATAATAAATGTTATTAAAATCACATATTCCCCCCGATTCCCGGATTCCCCGATTCCCGAATTCCCCGATTCCCCATTCCCTGTTTTAAAGATAGCCGTTTAGTTAAGTTTCATTACCTGATCTTAACCACGGCGCGAAAGCTTCCAAAGAACTTATCATATTTCATTGACCGATTAAGCTCCGCCTTTCCTGGCTTTATAATAGCTGCATCTGTAATTTTATACTATTCTTAATCCTGAGGATGACTACAAACTAGTCGAAACGTCGATTAAAAATCAAAATGTTTTTCGGAGTTACTGTTATTTTGTATTTTCTTAAAATACTGAGTGGTTCCCGTAATCATTAACTTTAAGTATAAGTTAAACACCAAAAGCGGAGGATTTAAGCCAGATAAATCCCGAGTGCCGAAGGCCCCGAGGGATTTATCTGGCTTATTAACTGCCGACGTTCGAGGTGTTCAACTGACTTATAGCACGATTGCCGATTGGCGAAGTTTTGTCCCCAAAACAGCTCTTGCGCTTGTGGGACGTAGAATCAAAATTGAACATGCGCACTTTAAATGCTTTCATGTGGACGAGCATACGCATTTTATCATTTATAACAGCAAATATTTTCGCATAAAT